ATCTGGTTTCAGTTTATGATGATAGAGGAAATAGAGGTAAAGAGGTAAAGGAGATAATAGAGACACTGAAGGTAATGGAGTTGCTGGAGATATACACGGAAATGGAAGCAATCGAAGTAACGAAGTGGGGGTGTGGGTGTGAGATTGTTTTTAACTACATCCACACTCACACTCCACACTCACGCACCCACACACCCACCCACACCCCCACACCCACCACACTCACCCATACCCACACCCACACCCACACCCATACCCACTCCACACTCACGCACCCGCACCCACACACCCACACCCACCCACACCCTGAATTATCTGATTATCTTAGAATTTCAATACAGCGAATTTGTTTTTATCAATTAATATTGACTGAAATCTTAGCGTTGCATACATTTTTTCATATATTCGACTATTTTCTGTAAAAACCCTTTTTGAGAAGACGAATAACACTACTAAAAAATATCAAAGCTAGACTCTCTAAAAATGGGGCGGAATAGGCGATCTCTCTACATCGGTTTATTGTGCACGTGTTTATTGTATTTTTTCGTTTATTGTATATGCATTACTAAGTGACTATCTCTCTCTGTTGTTTCTTGACATAGGCTCGATTTTTTTCCCATTAAGCTTTTTTCTCTTTTTCTTCACTTATCTCTTCCTGTCATGATATGATGTTGGTATTTTTCAGTTAACTACTGCCTATCTTTTTCATGTGATCGTGTTGGGATGAATCATTTGAAAGAAGCTTATATATATATGTGTCTTGCTTATGTAGTGGTTCGTTTTTCAATTTTTATGAGGAACAAACTAGGAGTATTCATGATAGCGATTAGTATACCATAAGGAACCCTCTACAAGATAGTACTGGCATTTTATAATAAATAATGTTTTCTTAATTGTAGTCTTTAACTTATGGCAAACAAAAACATTTAAAGAACACTGAGCAGTTTTTTCTGTTCTAAATCATTTTTTTCTGTCGTTCGATCTTTTTATCATCGACGATTGCAGTAATCAGTGTCTTTCAAAACGTATTGAAATACAAAATAGTCGTATCAAGCGTCCATTTTTATGTGTTCTTATCTTTTGTTCACTTACGAATGAATGCTAGAAGAAATAATAGAATTATTTTTCTTTATCTTGTAATATAAAAATCTTTATTTTAACAGTAGCGATTTTTTTTTATAATTGATAGTATTAGCCAAGAAAGACTATCGAAAATGGCAGAATTCACTTTTACAGAAAAACTACAAAAGTAAGTTCTGTATAGTCTATCTTTTATGATGGAACTAACTAATATTGTGCAATTACACTGGCATTATTACATAGTTGCAAATATACCACGACTATTGAATGTTTTTCGTTCTTCGTATAATATACATATACGCTGTTTTACAACTAACGAACTATTGCTTTTACTATAAGATAACATCATTATAGATTCTTTCCTTTTCATCTTCAATCTATACGAGATAGATTAAAAAGAAGTTGCAAAAAAGAATTCTGTAATTTTCAATAGTCTTTCTTGGCTAACACTGTCAATTACAAAAAAATTTCCCTGTAGTCAAAATAAAATCTTTATCTTGTATTGTATGATTTTATACACCTTTATATGCTGATAGATTATTGAAGATATTCTATTAACTATTTTATTTTTAGATCAATTTTTTTTCAAACAAATCAAAAGAGAGAACAAGTGAGTTTTTGATTTCATACTTGAATAAAAAACTTGATGTGTACTTTTACTCCATTGTCAATGTTTATAACTTCTCTGTCCAATGATTTTTCGGTCATTGATATAAATGAACAACACGCTGATTGAATTATAATCGTCTATGTACTCTCCATGAAACGTTCTTTTTTCATATAACTATGAATCATATATCAAGTAGATTGTGCAATCGAACAGCTTCCATCCTTCTGCTTTCAAAAACACATGAAGATATAAATGATAGATCTCACGAAAAAGTAATGTTCTGGAGAAGATGGGCATAAAAGTACAACCCTTGTTCGGCTATTCACCTCAATCCACATTCCTAAGAACTCATGAAGCACCAACTTCAGAAAAATCCTGCCTGTTATTTAAGAATTTCCTTATTCTTCGAGCCTCATAAATGAAACAATACAATTAGAATAGAAAAGAATTCTATTTTTTAAGTTGTAGCAGAGATCCTTCAAGTTATTTTTGTTGTTTCTTAAACACTGCATCCGTCACAAAGTCTTTTAATTGTCGGCATTTTGATTTCTCAATCTGTCGGATTAATTTCCCAATATGGTGTAACACATAAAAAACTAAATGTTATGAGCGATTCATTTTCTATTGTTTTGTACCAGTGACAAAGTGAAGGTTTTGTTTTTTGTTATCTGAATCAGTATTCATCTTTTTTTCAAATGTTTAGTGTCAACAGTGGCAATGACATCAGACGAGTTGAATGCAACGAATTCAAATGAGACTAATTTAGAGTCTATAAAAATACATCGGTTATTTTATGTGGAAGATAATAGTGGTTTAAATGGCGATGACTATAGAATGGCAGGTGATTTTCAAAACATGCAAATAATCATCGAGCATCTGCGTCAGATAGATCTACAGAAAACACAAATATTTGGTACATTTGGAGATAATGCTGGCGCTGAAAATTATCTTTATTCAGTATTTCCAAATAGTCAAAGTCAAATAAAATCATTATTTACTAATGTTGAACAGATACCGACTATTTGGACAATATTTAATAGTTTAAATTTGGTCTTTTTACTAATTTGTAATGAAAATATAACGTTGGAAAAAAACACTTATTTTACCATTGTAATGCAAAGATTTTTACAAGATGTATGTCAAAATATTATCATTTGTCCATCGGAAACATTTTTTGTAAATTTTTCAACTGAACATTCATTTCATGGTAAACCACATGGATCTCGAACATATAAAATAGTAAAAAAGGAATTATTCAATATCCAAGCACCACAAAACGTTAATTTAGATGACAAAAACATTTTAAAATCTTTATTAGATGAACAATGTCGAAATGTTTTGATTACAAACAATAGTTCAATCACGTATTGTGTTAGAAAAACTTTGCAAGAAGCAAATTTAATTTCAGAAGACGATAGATTTACTAAATTAGGTGAACTTTTAAAGGCCCACTTTGATATCAGTACAGTCAATTTACGTAAAATCTTGGATCTCTGTGAAAACAGTCGAGTCTTCTTATCGTACAAACAAAAAACAGAAATAGAAAAACTAATCACAACTTATGTACAATTATATAATAATGATATAGTTCATATTGATCATGAAGCAAAGTCATCAATTCAAGAGTTAATTGGCATAAGCAAAGTATTCGGTTCTATCAGACATGAAACTGAAAAAGAGTTTAGAAAACAGCTATATCAAATCACGAAAAATTGGCTGATTAATCCAAATTGTTCTCAAGCAACTGCTGAAGATTGTGCTGAATACATTATCAATTCTTTACAAAACCATCTTAGAAGTAAACATTCTTCTCCCAATATTAAACCCCAAGAACGCTTGGATTTTATATCTCGATTGAAGAAAAATGATAAGAAAAATATCGTACGACAATTCCAGGAAAATTGCACAGACTTGATTTTATTAGAAGCTAAATCAGAAAATCAATTCAACATTCATTTTGATATTTATCCGTTGCAATATATTTCTCATTTTAATAGTGAACATTATCTAGAACATGTTACTGTCAATTCTTCTGCACCAATTCAAATTACATTCCATGAATTAAATCTTTTTATGAATCTCTCTGAACTATCTGAAGCGGATCGTCTTGCATTATCAAGAAAAATAAAACTTATTGCTTGTTTTAATACAAACGATGGTAAAAGTGAAATTATTGTCATTAACAGACCCAATATCATTAACGGAAGATTGAGTGAAAATACTGGATATACTATTTTACTGCATAAAAGTGGATGTTTTAAAAAAATATCAGATTATGCTCGTTCAGCAATTCATTTCGCATATGCATCCAATCAAAATTCACAAACCTTAGTTTTTTATCATATAAATACCAGAGAAGTAACACGATGGTCATTGACTGAATCTGGAGAAATGAAAATTCATTCTATCTTACAATTATCGGATAGTTCTCACAAGCCCGATGGCGTTAAAAGTCTTGCATTAACAGTGGCACAAAATTTACTTATTCTCATTGATTCAACTTCTACAGTTTATTCGATTGATATTTCAGGTGAAGAAATTGCCTTTACATCATTATTATATAAAAGTACGAATAATTCAACTAGCAGAACAGATTTTAAATCTGATGATGGCGAACTTTATCAAACAGTTCAAACAATTGGAGAGAAAAATCCAATATTTTTCTTTCAAACAAAATATTGTGTTGATATTATTGATCAAAATTATTGTCAAATATTTAGTATTAAATTAAAAGGAAATTCAGAATTATATAAAATGCAAATTTTTACAGATTTTGTTGATACATATTGTGTCTTTTTTAATGCAAACACTAGCGAAGTTTATTGTTTTCAAAATCTTATATCAGATACACGCATTGAACGACAAGAAAGTTCGAACAATCTAGACAAACTAACTAAACGATATGTTGGTAATCGATTATTGGATATAATTAAAAGAGGTGAAATACAGTTTGGTGCTCCCGATTCACTCGATGAAACTCATTATTATATAGTACTTTCACCGGAATACTCATCGTACTCTGATAAGATAAAGAAATATTTCAAAGATTTAAACATATCAGCACAATTAACCATAGGATGTGAAAATATGAATTCGAATAGTTCTTCTATACATATAGAATCTTTAATTAAAACTATCATTAGTCGTATACCATTACAACTTTGTACCATAGAAATGGGAACTTTAGTTCCATTGAATAATGGACGACGTGATCGAATGAATCATTTATCATCTAAATCATTTCGAATCGATATGAAAGCAAGGGAAATATCATTTTCGTATTTGGATTATTTATTAAATAATATTAATGAAAATGAAAATATTCGAATCATTGGTATCATTGGTCGTCAATCAACTGGAAAAAGTTATTTATTAAATAAAATATTTCAAACGAGATTTTCCGTTGCAGCCGGACGATGTACTGATGGAATATGGATGAGTTATGTCTTTTTGGAAAATACTCACTTTATTATATTAGATTGTGAAGGTTTATTTAGTGATCAACGAACTGACGATGAAGAAATAAAACTTATTTCATTTTTAACTGCTGTTTGTGATATAACAATTCTAAGTCAAGACTTAGGATTTAGTCGTTTTCAAGATCGTCTATTTGCTTTTCTTTCGCAAGCGGTCGAAAAAATAAATAAAAGTGAAAAATTATTTAAAGGAATATTATTTGTTGCCATACGAGACATAAGTGATATTAATGATCAGGAATCATTTGTTGCTGCTGAAAAGAAATTCTTAGATTTACAAAGTAAAGGTAAAAGTGGCTTTGTTGAACAATTATTTTCTAATACATTTAAAGTTCAATTATTACATCATTTTGAAAATAAAAATTTTGATTATGAAATCCAAGAATTACGTAAAACATTTCTAAGTTATGTCAATACCAGCTCAGACAGTACATGCCGATGGGAAAATGGAAAAACTTTGTTGGATCGTTTGAAAATCCTTCTAGTACAGTTGTATACCGATGATTTTATTGATTCTGATGAAATACATTGTGAAATGAAACTAGCAGGATTAATTGAACAAATGAAAAAAGCTTGGACAAGGTTTTACTTGGATGATGACGAGGCAAATATTGTGTCCAACGAGCAAATAATAGAAGCAACATTTAACAATAAAAAATATGTGATTAAATTGAATCATGAGAAATTATATTTGGATGAAAATGCTTCTGATCAAAATTTCGATAACATTTGTGAATTTATTTTTAATGAATTATATCCACAAAATGATTCTGCAAATGTAACTAAAGAAGAAATAAATAAAATGCGAATATTTATTGATGAAATTATTCTTGAAGTAATGAGTTATCGTCGTCAACAAGTAACACAGTGGATGATTAAAAAATTTAAACAAGAATTTCCAACTGAAAATGAAAGTATTAAAGAACGTCGAAGAAAATTCTTAAATACGATTGAACAATACACGCTTTCATTTAAATTTAATATATGTTTGAAAAAATGTTCAATATGTGATTTACAATGTATTAAAAATTCTCAACATACGCATGAAACAAAAGTTTTACTTGAGAGGAAAAAAGAAGAATTGAAAAAAGTACAAATTTCATTAGAAACCTTTGATTTAGAAAGTATTCGTGAACGTATGCAAAAATTAAATCAAGACATATATGATGCGACATTAAAGGAAAATAATCTTCGTCAAGAAATGAATTTATTATCTAATGAGTTGAAATATCTAACTGAAAAAGAAAACATTGAGACACAAATCAATGAATGTGATTCAAAAGTAGCGATTGAAAAAAGAAAGATCGATGATTGTCAGCTTAATATCAATGATATTGATCAAGAATTAAATATTCTTGTACCAAATCAAAAAGATTATCAGAGTACAACTCAATTACTGCAACATCTCGATCAAGAAATTTTATCCATATTGAATCCTAACAACTATGCTCAATTGAACCTAGTTATTGATTCATTTCATACAAAATATAAAGAAATTAGTAAGCCTGAAAATGATTTACTCTGCTTCTCGCTTGAAGAACAAACAACGGACTCAATCGAATCAACAGGTTACTGCCAATGTTTGACACCATTCTTTGTCTCTATGATGAGCAAAAATATTGATCAACTTTCCAATTATTTGTTATTGATTCAAGAGAACTTTGAATATATCGAACAACAACTTGAAAACTCCAAAGAGAATGTAATCAATACAGAAAATGAAATTAAAGAACTTGAACAAGAGAAAACTACAGTTGAAAATCAAAAGGTAGAAACAAACAAGCTGATTCAAAAGTATTCAGAAGAAAATGAAGACATCATCAAAAAGTTAACTGACATAAGTACTGAACGAGAAATATTATCAAAACAAATTGATGAAAATAATCATTCTAATGATCAAATGAACTCGTTTATTGTTGAAAAAGTCAAATATTATATGAAAGATTTACAAAAAAGACGAGTTAATTGTTCATGCTTGCACTTTTGTAATGATCATGAAAAAATCGAGACAACAAAACAACAAGAAATTCTAAGACTACAATTCTTTTTAGAAGAAAAAAAGAAAAAAGAAAAAATTATAGCTACTAATGCAGAAGAATTGGAGACCTCGAATGACAATATTCGAATTCAACAATGTAAAGAAGAAATAAATAAGAATGAAGAAAACATTACAAAAATTCTTGAAAAAATTAATACCATTCAAACAAAAATCGATTCTATTGAAGCACATCAATCGATATTGAAACAAATAGACGAAGAACACGATAAATTAAATCTAATAGTGCAAAGTATACAATCATCTGATAAAAAAATCGAGTCGAAAAAAGAGCTCTTAGCTCAATGCTTGGAAAAGATCAATGAAAAGAAAACATGTATTAGAAAATTAGAAGAAGCTGATCCTTTAGAAGAGATCGATCAAGAGAAACAGGCATTAGAGAAGCTTAACAAACAACATGAAAAAATCTTAAATGAATTCAATGAAATAGAACAACAAGTTTTAATCTTATGCCAAAATGATCCTCTATTAAGTAAAATTTTAAATGAACCGCAAGATGACAAAGATAAAGACGAGCAATTATTAAAAGATCGTCTCAATCAATTATCGAAATCCTTCGAATCTTTAAATGAAAAAAATAAACTCATCTTAAATACTTTATTATCAAACAAAACAGCGTTAGAAGAGCAAACTCAGCAATTGTTAAGTATCAACAAGAAAATTGAAGAACAAAATATCAAACACGAACAATATAAGAACGACGTTCATATTAATGAAGAACTACATATTTTAGGAAATGAACTCCTACAATTGCTTATAAATACTAAAAGCTTACTCAATATTAATTTGAAAAGATCGAATGAAATTTTTCAAGCAAATAAATTAATTCATGAACATTTATCATTATCAAATATACTAAAATCTGCCAATGAAGAATTAGTACGACTCACAACCAATAAAGAACAATTTAATAAACAGTTGTATGAGACGAATAGTATTAATCATCCAATGAACTTCGTTAATAGCCATGAATGTAATGAAAAGTACCAACAAATTGTCAAAGATTACGAAAATGCAAGTTTATATAATAAACATTTAAGACAAGAATTATCAGATGTTGGTATTTATTCTCGTTTGACAATTGATATTGAACATTTAGAAAGGGAAGCTCAAAATAAATGTAGTTGCGAGACAGATCATAAATGTTCTGGAATATGTCAAATTTGTGCTGCAGAAGATAAAACAAAACAAAATCCGTGTATGTTCAAAGCTGGACACGATGGTGCACATAAATGTGATAGTGGTCATGTATGTAAAAAATCTTGCCAAATCTGTGAAATTTATGGTAAATCAGATAATAAATGTCATTTTGCATATGAGCACCAGGAACCAGAATATCATCAGTGTGAGCGTATTCATCAATGTCCAGCAACTTGTATTTGCTCAGATCCATGCACCGTACCCTTAGAACTTAAACCTCATAGTGTTCATCAATGCAATAAGAAAGATTGTTGGAAACCATGTATATTTTCATGTGGTAAATCATGCGCGAATCAAGATCATAAACATGATATAACAGCAGAATTAGTTACAATAATTGATGGTCGTGAAACTCACCAAGTGAAGAAACATTTATGTAATGAATGCCATTATTGCAAAGGCATATGTGATGCACCTGGTGTCTGTAAACAAGAATATAAAACACAACAAAGAAAATGGACAACAGAATCAGGTCAAGAATTTATGTATGATCATATTGAAGTCGAAGAAGTTCGCGATAAATGTGGAATAAAAATACTAGCAGGGAAATCTTCTCATAGTGATATTGCAAATCATCGATGTGACGGACAACATACATGTCAAGAAAGATGTCCTGATTGCGGTTCATTTTGTAGAAATCCTCATGGACATGATGGATTTCATAGAACACTTCATCGAAATAAAGAACAACATATATTTACAAGTACAAATCCAAACGATCAAATTGAAATACGTTCAAATGAATCAGAAGAAACCATTGTAAGAAAATATAAAGTTGGAGAATCAGCTAAGCCGGAAAATTGTAGTGTATCTTGTAAACGTCGTGGTCGATCTCATTTTCATTTAGTTGAATGTCTAGGTGGCCTCACATGTTGGGAAAAAGTACTGGGTAATAAAGCAAAACATTCTGATGATACATATTACTATGAGCCAGATAATCCAAGTACAAAGAAATATGATAAAATTTTATGTTCTGCATATTGGTCACACCATAAATGGTTTCCACCTGTTAATGATATTGATAAAAAAATGATTGATACATGTAATATATATTGTACAAATCATGTCTTACGAGATCAAAATGGTTTTATTGTTAAAGATTCTTCGAAAGCCTTTTGTACATTGGATGCTTGGCATTCTGGTAATCATGTATTTGAATGTCAAAATGATCATCATGTATTAGAAATGTATCAAGGTATTAATGTATGTTTTGTTATTGATACAACAGGATCTATGGAACCATATTTTGGACAAGTTAAAACGGCTATTAATCGTATCATTAATGATAATCAGACTTTATTGGCAAAAATCAAATCAAAATGTGATTTTCAATTTTCTGTTGTTGATTATCGAGATCATGAACCAGAAGGAGATTATGTTTATCATAAGTGTGATTTTACAAGCCATACAGTAGCCATGCAATATGTGTTGAATTTGAAAAGTGGTTCAGGTGGCGATTTTCCCGAAGCTGTACTGGATGGTCTAGATGCAGCCTGCGATTTGCAATGGCGCGATAATGCTGATCGTTTACTATTTCATATATTGGATGCACCACCACATGGTCGAATATATCAGACAACGAACGCCGACAAATGGCCTGATGGTTGTCCATGTGGAAAAACGGCTCAAAGTGTGCTGCATAAAATGAAAAACAAAAAGATTTCCTATCATGTATTACATTGTACAAATCATTTAAATAAGATGATCAGTGAATTTAAAAATTATATAGATGTAAAAACTCTGAAGATTAACGATAAGATTACATTTGAAGATGCTATTGCAAAACAAGTACACCAACAGTTAATTGATACTGAAATAACATTGAGAAAAACATGAAAATGGTTGATCATTTTTCTTGCACTTTTTTTCTAGTACTCTTCTTATCATATAACCAAGAGAACTAAAGATGAGCTCATTTTACTCCATATTTATTCATGCATGTTCCTTCTTCATACCGCTTTTTTTTTCAATTATGAAATAAAGATTCGTTTAAAAAGGAGCGCATAATAGTACGTGGCCTGGATTAGAAGGGTGGGTGTGGGTGTGGGTGTGGGGTGTGGGTGTGGGTATGGGTGAGTGTGGGTGTGGGTGTTGTTGTGCGTGTTCGTGTGCGTGGTTGGGTGGTTGGGTGGGTGGATGTGAAACGACGAACTACACCCACACCCACACCCACCCACACCCTTTAAGTTTAGAAAAAGTTGTAAAATTTCATCTAACAAAAAACAGACGATCCTTTTTTTGTCTTCTCAAATTCAAAAATTAATCACGTCTGAATTCTTCTAATGAATAATCATATGTAATTGATAGATACATGATTCATTCGTTATCGACTTTGTGTGAAATATTGAGTTAAATCATGTGTAATCGTTGATTATTTTACTAGATATGATCAGAATGTTTTTTTTCTTGGGAGGAGTCATGAGAATTTTTTGAAATTGATTAGAATCTTTCATAAGACAAATAAAAAAGCTATCAGATAAATATACTGATGCTTTTTTTTATTAAATTCAATAAAATTTAATTATGTTTGTTAGAAATGAGTTCTAAATATTTCAGTCGCAACTATCTCATTCAGAGCTTTAAAGCAAAGTCTACATCAAAAACGTTGGAAGATAAATAAGAGAAAAAAACTTTCATCAGGAATCAACGAATGTATTTGAGCTGAAATGACGATAAAAGATATGTTTCATCGTTGGTCTTTATCTAATTGAAGTTTTCGAAGCTTTGATAAAAGCACAGTGAAATTTGAAGATGACGTAAACATAGTGTCATTTGTTACTTTCTACTATGTCGATGTAAAGATATTTTTTCGAGACGTAAATTACATCTTTTTCCGTTCTTTGACATGTGCTTCAAAAAAATGCTCTCGAATAGAGAAATAAAAATATTCAACAGACGATAGAGCTATAGAAACGAAGGAAGAAAAAAACGCAGATACTCTTATTTTGTTTTTGGTGAATAGAGAACGTCGAATTTTTTAACTCATTTTTTGTTCTCATTAGTGTTTGCATTTATTCGAGTGTCTGTCATTCATAGCGATTCTACTGAAGGATGACAAGATTCAGGCAAAGTTGCATATTGTCAATTTTTTGTGACATTCTACGTTGCTACAAACACCAATGCATATTAAGTTATTTGTTGTCACCTGGTTGATGAGTAATTGGAGATTTTTCTTTTCGTTTTACCCAGTGATTTTTTTCCCTTGTTGTTCTGTGTTTTTTCCAAGGCTATAGACAGACGTCTCTATAAAAAAGAGCTATGAGTAAATGAAATATGTTTTATTTGGCGACAGTATATTGTTCGACGTGGACCTTTCAATTTACTTTACAGACAAGGTATTCATCGATAATCACTTTTCAAAGCAGAATTAAACATTAGATTCTGAATGGAAATTCGAAATACGTTTGGTAATCAATACAAATGCGCTTTTAAGAAGAATTTCTCGCTCTATTCTGACGTTACCCGCTGTACAACAGACATGTAACTACTGAGTAGAGGATGTCCAAAAAGTATTCCACTACTAGTGTGCCATAGTAACTTTTAGATACTCTCATGGTAGTTTCTCAGATATACTTCCACACAATGTTCATTAAGTAGACAGTTAAAGATAAGGATTACATATCTAATCGAGTACTGCTCTACAGTTTTCCGAGTTACCCTGTTTGAAAAATCTTAGTACGCTTCGAGATCAAATCTAACATTTGACGTTTGGTTTCGTATTTTTCTCACAAAATATTCTCTGAAAATTCAAATCGTCTTCTTTTTTTACCTCACACTTAATTATATAATATTGCGAATTTTGCATCTCTACAGATACGTTGAAAAGTTAGTAAAATAAAAACTGAGGCAAAATTTTAAAACACGGCATCAAAAAATATTACTTAAAAATCAGAAAATGTATATTACAAAAAAGATGCAAGTTTCAATAAACTGTAGAACAGAGACCGAGTACAATAATATTAATGTGTGTTGAACAAAAATAAAAAAAAATAGAAATGTTAGTCAATGTTTGTAAGAATTGTTTTTTTTTAATACAATAATTTTCTTATTTTCATCTAATGTTCATTTTTGGAAAAATATCGAGATATCTGAAAAAAATATACGATTAAGAAGAAAGTTAATTTTAATAATCCGATCGTAGTGAGAAAAACATATCTAAAAAATCGACATACATTCATTGGGATATATAAAAATAAAACATTGCAGTTTCTGACATGATATAATTTAATTGATTTCTAGTCATGACTTCTTGCAATCACCCATTCTCTATTAGTCAACAAAACTATAAATCCAAACAATGATTATTTATCCGCTTGTATTTATCGTCTAATCTGTTTTTTAATAAGACTCCACTAGCCGTAATTAAATTCAGTAAGGTGCTATTATTCTTGGGTTTATTATCTAAAAAAGGGAAAGGATCTAAGAATATTAATGAGAACGAAAAAAGCGAACTTAATCTTGATTTATTTTTTTCCTTAACTGCATCGATGTATTTCTTTTTTATTGATGCATTGTAGAAAGAAAATTAGAGTACCCCGTTGAAATACACACAGAGAAGTCATAGATGCAAGTACCTATCCAAATACTTGCCGAGTAAATGTACTGGCATGGATACCTGAGATAGTACCTCCATCAGTGGTTTTACTGAAAATATTCACCGTATCTCTTTCGGATACCTTGCTGAGTCTATCTCAGTATATGGGTACCGTGAACTCAGTATTTTCAATAAGGACATTAGTTCAGTCGCTATACAACGCATTGATATTCTGATGGTTCCAATATCAAAATAGTTTTACTCTCATATAGTTTATTTTCTGGCTTACTAATGCAAATTCCTTTGTACTTTTTCTGTTTCTTCTTTCTCTTTTTATTCTAAGTGTACAGGAATATCGTTTTAATTTAAAAGCGGTAATGTCACGGATAGGAAAAAACCAACAAAGTGTAATAACATCACTACGAACGATTCCTCTATCATAAATCATCGTCCTTTCAATACAAGAAGTTGGTCATGAGATCCATTGAAACTCCAAACTTTTCCGTAGAATTATCTGATTATTATGTACAATATCGAAATAAATAATTCCGTTCACGATTACTTGGTACAACAATTGTTGAATAAGTGAAAAATCTCAGTATACCAATATAATTGCTGTTATTGGGTAGTGCAATAACTAGTTTAGTTGCTGAATTTCCAGTAAATTATATTTTGACTCCTTCTATGGTCAAGTATAAAGAAAATCCATACACATTATTCATAGTTCTGTTCTATATCTGTCAGAGTAAATAAATGTTTCATCATATATTAAATTGTTTTTTTTTGTGGGCAAACTATTGGTGCATTTCAAAAATATACTTTATCTGAAATAAGAATCATCGAGCATGTAACTGAAATAATAAAAATACAAATTAATTTGTTCTTTATAGAAAAGAAACAAGTATTTTAAAAAATCCAACATTCTTCAAACTTGTATCTAATTTTGAGGATATGTTGAAGATAAAATACTAAAGCGGAATACTATTTTTTCATTGTTTGAGGATTAAAAAATTTTCTACAAAATCAGCGGTCAAATTAAAAGCTGCTAATTGACATTCGTATTCTTCGTGTTGGAGTCCAATAGAGTTCTCCCGTGGGTATTCGATAGTACAAATACTATCTGCATGCAAAACTAATTTGAACTTAAATATTTTAATGAACTTCATCGATCGAATCCATCGATACTCTTCGTTGAACCTGTTCCATTCACTGGAGGATGAATAGAGTCAACTTCAATCTTGAATAGTATTTTTAGATGAGGATTTCATAAATGATAATTGATTATCATCTTCGACATCCTAATTTTAATTTTACGTTAATGGAAGTTCTGTTTGATGACAATCACTTTTTATTTTCAGATCAATTAAATATATAGAAAAAAAATGGAATCTACAGACTATAACCAAAATGATCGATGTTTTCCGGCTGACGGTAGTACAATACATACACCAGCTCAAGAAGTTGATCAGCCAAGTCAAGGTATGATATTTAATAATGATGAACAACGATATTTACAAGGAGGTTGTCTAGGTAATTAAACAGTAATTAAAATTTTAGTGAAAACAAACATAAATCTATGCGAATGATTGATTTTAGATTATGAAATTTCTAGTATAAATGAATCAACCAATCAAATAAACGAAGAATCTCTACAAAATGCATTGCTTGATGTATCAGTGTTGCCCAGCAGCTCTGATAATTCATCATCTGTTGCATCTACTCATTTATCTTGCAACACAGTTGAGACAAGTTCAACTTCTGTTCATTCGAAATCATGCAAATCATCAAACAAGAAAAAGGATAAAAGACAACGTAAGAATATTTTTAGAATTTTGTAGCAGCATAATCCTGATTCTTTTATCTGCTGTTAAAATTTTGATTTCTATTCGAAACAAAGATGAAACTCAGATTTTGAGGTATACTGCATAGAGATAGAAGGCTTCTTCCTTAAAGTCTTCGTAGCTGTATTGATGTGGAATCATAGAGCTTTTTTTTTAAAAATGGCGAACGAATCTGTTCGAGATAAGTCAACAAGCAATTGAAATATTCATCCAATGAGTGATCATAATGCATTATGTATAATAAAAACACACACACTATAAAGTTGATATAAATTCTATGTTATTAAATTTTAGAAAAGAATATTTATGGTTTTCATTTTGAAATCAAAGAAGAACGGAAACAGAATATGTTCGAGTAAGATATATGAATCTTATTAAATCGATTTCGACTTATATATTTGTTAGAACTGCACCTAAAGACTCAACAACATTAAAATTTAAAAATGCATCAACCGAAGTTCACATAAATGAGTTCAATATTGTCCGATATCTTGGTTGCGGAAGATATGGTTCAGTAGATGCTGTAAAAATTATTAGAAAATATCGTGAAATCGATCTTGCAGTTAAAGTAGGTCAAAATTAGAGGCAATCATTGTACTTGTTGCAGGTTTAACAAAAATTGCTGAACCTTTTCTATTAATTTATGTGACAATACGATAGAATTCATTAATTGTTTTTGTTTGAAAATCTTTAGATTGATGAAAATCAACTAAAATACTTTTCTCCTTTAAATTTTTGTAGCGAATTCCACTCATAACAAAATCGGAAGAAGCTTCTGTAATACGAACCGAATTGAACATGGTAAAAGAAATAATGAGTTCAAACACTTGTCAATATCTGGTTGATTATTACGGGTTTCTGATTGATACTGTAAGTGAGTTTTTATTTTTATTTTTTGTTTTATTATGATTAATAATGGTATCTTTTTCGTTTTTTTAAGAGACATAGTGAATTATGTATTTGTATGCAATTAATGAATTCAACGATGAAAAAATTTTATGAAACGATGCATTCATACAAAACTATTGTTTGCAGTAATTTCGATCTTTTTATTGCTCGTTTAATTCATAATGTAAGCAATTAAATTAAGAAATTTCCAGTTTAAAATTGCATTTTTCGTAGGTCGTTACAGCACTTGAATTCTTATCAGAGAAAAATTATTTTCATCGTGATATTAAACCAGAAAATATTTTGGTTAATAGTCAAGGTATTTTTAAACTGAGTGACTATGGAATTTGTTGTAAAATAGATGAAATTTATTCAAACGACTATCGTCTTATGGGAACAATTCATTATTTATCACCAGAACTACTTGGTACGCCACCCGATTTGTGTTCAAAGCAAAGTGAATTATGGGCGTTAGGAATTAGTTTAATTGAAATTATTAGCGGTCAACATCCATGTATTGGTTCGGATATTTTGGATCAGTGGGGAAAAATTCAGAGTTTCAATCCAACAATTTCTAATAAAAGTCTTTCAAAAAATATTGAAGCTTTAATTTTATCTTTGTAAGTTGCTTTATTTTGAAGTTTGATTTACATTATTATGGTTTTTAATTTTCATTAGAGTGGAAAAAGATGTTCAATATCGACCAAATTCTTACAGTCAAATTCTTAGCATGCCATTTGTTCAAAACATACCAAAAGAATCAACGATTGATGAAATAAATTTCATCGGATCAGTAATAGAGATTATTCAAGAGTTGTCTATTGAGGCTAGTGAATATTAATTGATGAATGGCACTTATGGATTGTTTCCTTGAAATCCTACTCATGGTCAACAGTTATCTTTAGACAGAAATTAAATGAAACAATAAATAAAAATTGTTTCAATCTTGGCACAGCTCATGAAAAAAAAATTCGTATAAAAACACATTCTAACGCAAACTTTTAGAGAAGAAAGCGCTATTTCTGCGTCTAAACGCATCGATTTTCGTTTTTAACGCGTTTAAATGCATCTTTTTTAATTTATAGCGCGTTTTTTTCAACTTAAAACATCACCCAAAATCTTCGTCCGCAGATGTTTAATTTTATTCGCTACAACGCGTTTATATGTCATGCAACTTAATCTTACACCCACACCCTTTGTTGAAAACATGATCTTTTTACAGACGTACTTAACGCATATGTTTTAAAGCGCTTTTTACGGGAAAACGCTTTTTTTGATAAAAGTGTTCGCACGCATATTTCAGGGTGTGGGTGTGGATGTGGGTGGGTGTGGAGTGTGGGTGTGGGGTGTGGATGTGGGTGTGAGTGGGTGGGTGGGTGTGGGTTTGATATTCTACTCACTTACACCCACACCCTATCGACCAGTGTTCATTTCGATCATCGCCATTGACACATCATTGGCTTATTAAGAATTCTCGACATGGGTGTGGGTGTGGGTGGGTGTCGGTGTGGATGTGGGTGTGGGCGTGGGTGTGGGTGTGGGTGGGTGTGGGTGTGGGTGTGGATGCGGGTGTGGGGTGTGGGCGTGGGTGTGGGTGTGGGGTGTGGGTGTGCATGTGTCCGTGCAGAAAAGAATAAACGTCACACCCACACACCCACACCCCCACACCCAGACACCCACACCCACACACCCACACCCTCACACCCACCCACACCCATACCCACACCCACACACCCCACCCACACCCACACTCGCACCCCACACCCCACCACACACCCACCCACACCCACACCCCGAAAGAAAGTCACCCACAATGCCTGGTGACAATCGAACATATCACACATGCTCAAAAGCACTCTCTATGGATAGAAAATGAATGTAGAGCTGCTTTGAAGTGTGACATGAACTGGAAGTCGGTGTGTATGGTCTCAAACTAAAAAGTTCGGGAAATTATGAAGAAAGCTTGATGGATTATAAGCGGAATCGAACCGCCACCTCTTGATACCATATCGAGTGTGCAACCAATTACACGACAAACCGAAGATATACAACGATCATGTGCTCCTTTTGTAGCACTGGGCAACATTGCATATGTATGATGCAAGACATTGCTCGCGCACATGTTTCTGTTCTTTTTTGTATCATTAGTATGATGAAATGGTCGTAGAATGTGTCATCAGTCTTGAGAGTGAGGTAGGTGTGAATCTCTCTTTATTCTCAACTAACCACCCTCACCTATGGAATGAATTGGAAAGATATGGCAAAAGTATTTGAATTTGCACAGAGTTATTCAAAATTAACAGGATCCTAAAATTACTATTCTGACGATGTTCCACCAGACAAAAAAAGAAAAAATTAGCTGGAAATTACGAAATGAAATGAATAGTCTTTCGGTCAGGAATCAGACACCAAAGTGGCCATGATATTTGACGTTTGTTTGACTAACGAGGGAACATATTTGAGTGTACCCACGCAGAGCGAATTTAAAAAC